TAATTACACAAACAACATGAAATACTGAAAAAATGTTAAATTATACACTAGGATGTGTATTTCCTTTTTTCACACAAAATCAGTGATAAGGGACATAACATTTGGTGGGTAGGGAGAACAGAAGTAACAAGGAGTAACAGGGGGAGGAAAATATGATCAAAATTATTTTATTTTTGTTTGTTTGGGTTTTTTTTGTTTTTGTTTTTTGAGACAGGATTTCTCTGTGTAGTCTAGGGTGTCCTGGAACTCACACTACAGACCAGGCCGGCCTTGAACCCAGAGATTTGCCTGGCTCTGCTTCCCAAGTTCTGGGAATAAAGGCATGTGCCACCACCACCTGGCTCCAAAATGTTTTTTTATGAAAAAATTAAATAACTTTTTTAAAGAACCTCACAAGGTGTGAGCATATTTTGGTGTTAAGATGATACAGACATCACTATCAAAACAATCTATCAATTCAGTGTTATCCTTGGAATTTGAACTGGACCAGTTTCTCCCCTCGACACACAGCACTTTTACCAAAAAATGGTGATATAATTTATATTTTGTAAACTATGATTTTCATTGCCACACAAAATCCAATTACTATCTCATTAGCTTTTGAGTTTCATTCTTAGTTTATATCCAAGCATACCACATTTTTTTGTTTTTAATGAGTAAACCTAAAGGATTAAGGATTGTGCCTTTACATTTTACAATGCATGCAAACAAAAACAATACAAGTAGAAACTCACATGATAAAGATACACAAGGGAATGATTAATTTCTCAATACCTCCATGCTAAAGCATCTAAGGTAATATTTCAAACAGCTTTTTCTCCTTTCATATTCACTGTCACTAGATCTCATGTTTGTCATGATGACAAGAAAAATCTCATACTGATTAAAACAAACTATTGTTTCTCCAAACTATCTGGAGCTTTAATTTCATATGTCAAGTGTTATGTTAAGGGGTTAACATAATAGCAAACTCAGAATTTCTCTCCCTCTCTTGTACTGAGAAAAGTAGTTTTATCTAATATAGTAATGATATTTTTTTGTTTTTCTTTATTTGTTAATACATACTATTGCTACACAGCTGCAGTTTATCTTGAAATTCATGCTACTCCTGTCCATACACTGTGATTACAGGTATGTGCTAACCTGTCTGGCTGTTTCCTCGTTTCTGAAAGATCCCATAACACCAGGTAACATAGGCAGACCATCTCTCAAAAACAACAACAACAAAACAAAAATAGGACAAATAAATGACATAGTAATATAGTTCAAGAATTTGGAAAAACAAAAACAAGACAATCATGAATTCAAAATATTGCAAGAAATGAATGAAATGGGACAAATATACAGAATCAATTAGCTGATTCTTTGAAATTAATCTACTTTGATGAACTAATTTGATAGACTCTTGGCCCAATTAACCAAAAAAAGACCCAAGTAACTGGAATCAGAGATGAATAGGGAAATAAAACAAACAATGAGGGAACACTTTAAAAACATATAATCCAGGGGTGACTTTAGCTGAGACTCTTATTAGCAGGGGTCACAGACAAAGAAACACCAACCAAGGATCATGCATGGACTAAACCCAGGCCGCCTACATATATGTTGCTGAATAGCAGTAAGGTCTTCTTGTGGGTTCCCTAGTAAGGGTAGCAAGGGCTTATCTGATATGGACTCTGCTGTTTGCTATTTGATCATTTCCCCCTGGCTGGGCTACCTTGCCAGGCCACAGAGGAAGAGCATGCACTCTGTCCTGATGTGACTTGATGTGCTGGGAGGGGTTGGGGAGCTCCCATTTTTTGAGGAGTAGGGGAATGGAGGGAAGGGAGAAAGTGTGGGACTGTGAGGAGAGGAGGAAGGGGACTACAATTAGGATGTAAAGTTAATTAATTAGTTTAAAACAAAAAAAATTTAAAAAAATAATTTATCATGTGAGAAATCTAAAGTCTAAAGCTAAAACAACTGAGTGAATTCTTAGATTTTTGCCAAACCACCAAAGTTAAACCAAAAAGAGATCAACAGATCAACAAACTTGAAATAAACAAGGATAAGGAAAGAGAAGCAAAAATCCCAGGCTCAGATTCATTCAAAAAAGAGTTCTACCAGACTTTCAGAGAAGATCTGACAACAATTTTTTCTTCCATTATACAAAAATAAAAACACAGGAGTATTTAAATTGATACTGTTAAAGTTTGATTATAAAGAGATTTACATAATGTCAAGTGGCCCTTTACCTCTCTACGTAATGTTTTCTGAATTAACTTTAGCATTCAAGAAAGTGATCACTTCCAATTAAACTAAATGACCGGCTATATTGAAACCATAAACACTTAAACTTGGTATGATTTATTGAAGACAACACACATATATTCTGACATATTTCCAAGATAAATATGTGCCCTCAATCCTTTCTCAAGTATAAAAAAATCAGAAGCTGAGGAATCTCAAAACCTGAAAGGTGCTATTTCTCAAGAACACCAATGCTACCAAGGACCAAGATAGACAAATAATTGATTCTAAATAAATAATATAAAAATGACATGCCTACTGCGAATACTATTTGATACCACAGAAAATAAAAAGACTACACCAACTAGTGAAATATAAATAGACACAATGCATATGGCCTACTTTTAGGCTACTGATGATGCATCTGATAGTCTTAATTTTCATTTTTCTTCATTTTATTTCACAAAATATATTCTATCTGAAGTTTCCCCTACCTCTATTAGTCACAATTCCTCTCCACTTTTCTTCCCATTGGCGACTGCCTTTTTCTCTCTCTCATTAGAAAACAGTCTTCGAAGGAAATATAATATAATATAATATAATATAATATAATATAATATAATATAATATATAATTTAATATAATGAATGTCAGAATTGGACACAGCAAACAGATGTTCTTAAATTTTATGTTAGTTTTAAAGGAACACATACTTTTATAAAGTACATGCAGAAAAATACTGGGCAATTTGAACACCATATCTTAAATGAATACGTAGTTCAGAAAACAAAATCATGTATAAAAAGAAATAATATGAGAAGAAAAGTGAGGGAAAGAGGAAAAGGAATGATAAGTGAGAAAATGTAGAAAGTATGTCAGACTAGATAAAAAGCATAAAGCTCTAAAATAATATCAAAAGAAAAAAGAAAAAACTTGTTAACATAGCATATACTCAAGAAATTTATGAAAAATGCAAAAATTTGGAAACATTTAGTGGTTTTTAAATCTAAAAAAACTAATTTCATAAAATCATGTCCATTTAACATTAAAATTAGTCCTAAGTTTTTTTCTGTTTCTTCTTTTTTTTTTAGTTTTCTTTTTTTAATTTTTTATTAATTACACTTTATTCATTTTGTATCCCCCCCGTAAGCCCCTCCCTCCTCCCTCCCGATCCTACCCTCCCTCCTCTTTCTGCATGCATGCCACTCCCCAAGTCCACTGATAGAGGAGGTTCTCCTCTCCTTTCTGATCTTAGTCTATCAGTTCTCATCAAAAATGGCTGCATTGTCCTCTACTGTGGCCTGGTAAAGCTGCTCCCCCCTCAGGGGGAGGTGATCAAACAGCAGGCCAATCAGATTATGTCAGAGGCAGTCCCTCTTCCCATTACTATGTAACCCACTTGGACACTGAACTGCCATGGGCTAGTCCTAAGTTTTAAAAGTACTATTTCACCTATTAGATTGGCTATTATTTAAAAGGCCATTGACACCTAGCACAAATCTATGAAAATTAGCACTGTAATTACACTACTGCTCTGGTTTTCCCAGAAAGCATTTAATGGCGATTTCACAATATTGACAGCAACCAAAGGTGTATACAGATGATTATCTAATATTACCATACAGGGAAAACTATTAAACAAGTAGGAATTCAAATATATTATCATAGTTATATAATTATATACAACATCAGCAGCAGCATCACATGTAGTAGCAAAGCACATTTTTATAAACTTTATAAACCTCCATGATATCTTAACTAGACAGTTTAAAAGCATTAATACAAAGATCATACATCTAAAAACTCCACATACATTTATATAAACATTAAAAGTTATTATTATATATACCATGAAAGCTTATCTCTTATCACTGCTATGAAACAGGAATAGAAGATTAAGAATAAATGACTATAAAATGCTTTAAACACTGCTGATGGTAACATTTCAATCCACTGAGGCATGTAACTTTATGAATACAACATTTTAAGAGCCAAGTATCAAAAAGCACAAATATTTCTCCCACTAATAAATATAACAATATATTGTAGGTCAGTGGTTCTCAACCTTTCTAACTCTGCGACACTTTAACACAGATTTTCATGTTGTAGTGATCCCCAACCAATAAATGATTTTCATTACTACTTCATAACTGTTACGTAATGCGATATATCTGTATTCTTCAATGGTCTTATGTACCCCTGTGAAAAGGTTGTTTGCCACCCAAAAATAATCTGGACCCACAGGTTGAGAACCACTGAATGGATTCAGTAACTATTACAAGGAAAGACATTTGTGTGTGTGTGTGTGTGTGTGTGTGTGTGTGTGTGTGTGCATTTTCTGTTTCTAAATCTTCCAAAGATCCTGTGGATGAAACTACACCTATAAAGTAGGCTAAAGGTTAGAAAACTATCTGCTAAAGTCCAATTCTGTCCCATGATTAGTGTGCTGCAACTATTTACGGGGCATAGTTTAAGAAATAGCCATAGGTGCTGTTGTTCTGCAAGAACAGGTTCCTAGTTGCAACAATATGATCTGTAAATCTGGAGCCTTACTCACAAAGTTTTATGACACCCAACACAACCTAATAAACTCTATTAACTTCTGCATCACACAGTTACTGTGTCTGATTAGAGTCACAATCAATCTGAACTCAGAAAATGTTAACATAAGAGATTAACTGAAATACAACAATTTAACAATTTAAAAAAGAATACCACTGTATGTAAAATAAGTGAGTATTATAAAAAGAACACAGGTCATACCTCAGAATCTAGCTAAAATGGAAATATAAAATGTAATAATATAATAGGTAACAACACATGGGTTGTACTACAAATTTATGAGACTTAAAACAATTTTATTAAGTTGTCTGTTCACTGCTATATCCTATCCCACATATAACCTGGGTTACAGTGATCCAATAGGAGTTGCCAGGATTGGATGGAGAACCCCTTTTTCCATTGATTCATATTGCTGGCCCCTATTAAATAATGTTAGTAACGACAAAATTCTTCGAGAAAAGAATTTTTACACAATCTTAAAATATCTGGGGCCGAGTGATCATGGCTAACCTGAAACTTCAGATCCAGGGGATCTAACTTTCATTTCTGACCTCTACAGACATCTGTCAGGCACACACTCACATACAGGCATTCATGCCTACACACTTTAAAAACTCCTAGCAATTATTTTTACTCTTAACAGTTATTGAAATGGGCTGAGAAATGCTGACAGTACTTTTTTAATGAACAGTATGGCTTATGGTCTAGAAACAGACAAATAATAGATAAAATAAACAGTACTTCATATTGACCTTACTTAGTTTAACCAGAAAGAGAAAAACACCATATTATGAAATAAACTAAAATCTCATTGATACTCTAACCTGAAAGGTGATACCAATAAAATGATTATGCCACACAATATACAAGATAGTATCACCTCAGCTCTCCTTATCAATGCAAGCACAATTCTCTACACACTCACAGTTACAATGACACTGAAATCTGGATATTGGAGAAAAAGCAAGCCACAGAGATTCATATTACTGCACCAGATAGAAGCCAGTAATATCAGCAAAAACAACAACCAGAAAATTTCCTATAGAGAATACCAATACGCATGACATAAAAATCTTTTTTTTTTTTTTTTTTTTTTTTGCGACCTGCCTAAAATTTTGAGTTTCTTGTTCAAAGCAGGAGGAAACCATCTCACAAATGATAACAAAACTGAAATACAGGGAGACTCAGTCAGAAAACTTTGTTACAATATGAAGTATCATTCCCTATACCACCTATACATAAAACTCTCTTCTATTTGCAAAGTAAAATAAAAAAGATAATTGGCAACATATAATATAGGAGTACAAGATAGACTGAAACCAGAAGTACTGAACATTCCAGGCAATTACTTGCCAAAAGCAGGTCATTTCTATTCCTTGACAGTCTTTCTTAAAAGTTGTGAGATAATAAAAGCAAAATAATACTGCAGAAACAATAAATATAAAACTGTACTTAGGAGACTCTGTAGATGAAACTCTTCAGAAGATACATTTGATGTGTTAGTCAAGATGATCACCACCTGGGAGAGCACAAAAAAAGTAAATTGTAAGTTAAAAAAATTAGTATGCTATCTGCTTTCCAATAGATAGGAATCATCCTCAAGATTTTATCAGACCTACATAGTAACAACTTCTAAGTCCTAAAGCAATGAAAATATTCTATAAAATTATTGCTATCATTCTCTCATTTATTATAAACAGTTCACATGCTACTTCATCACTTACTAATTTGTTGGCCTAATTTTTCCTTTCTAGCTTCTTAGCTAGCAACTAATACATTAAAATATGCACTATATTTAATATATTTTGTGGAAATATTTTCCAAAAATCGAAATCAGCTATGACACCAGACTCTATACTATTGAACTATAAACATTTATCTTTGGCTACAGATATAGTACAGTGGAAAGAATTTTGATTAGAAGAAAATTTGTTTGTGAACTCATTAGTATTTTTCGATTTTTATTTTTTCTTACTGTCAAAATACTTTGGTTAATTAATACTATTATGATTTCACTTTTAGCTGTTTTATTTTTTCCTTCAGCTTTATACATGATTTGCTAATATCAATTTGTTATTACCTGGATAATCTTTCTGTAGAATTGGTTTTTGTTGTTGTTGTTTTGGGTTTTATTGTTGTTTTCTAGACAAATTTTCTCTGTTTTATCTCTAGCTCTTCTGGAACTCATTTTGTAGATCAGGCTGGCCTTGAACTCACAGAGATCTGCTTGCTTTGTCTTAAGTACTGGGATTAAAGACAGATACAACCCTGCCCACTAGCACTCTATTTTTGAATCAAGTAATAAGTATTATATAATTATCAAGGGACACAAAACCTGATAATCTAGCAGATTTGTCTATTCACATTTCCCTACATTTATTTAAAACTTTGAAATTGTGTGTATATGTATATGTTTTTCTGTATGTTTGTATACATGACGATAGTGTTCATAAAGGCCAGGAAAGAGTTTCAAAACAAGTGAACCTAGAATTGCCAAAAATTATGAAATATCAAACATAGGTGCTTAGAAATGAATTCAGGTGCTCTACAATAGCAAAAAGTGAGGATTTCAGCTACAACAACCAGTTGCCAGTTGTTGGCTATAATTTTTTGGCAAATAGAGTCCTGTTCAAAAAGTCTGTAGGATTTAGCCATCTTCTAGATATTTTAGTGTTTCTGAATTGAAATTGAGGTCTTTGATCCACTTGGATTTAATTTTTGTTCAATGTGATAGATATTAGTCTACTACTATCTTCTGCATATAGGGCATAACTGTTTTCCCAGCAGCATTTGTGGAAATTCTCTATTTTTTCCAGTGTATGCTGTATGCCTCATTATCAAATGCAGCTGGTCTTAATTACAATTACATATGTTTGAGTATTTTATTTTATTCCATTGGTCTATATGTTTGTTTGTTTTTGCCCTTGCCATACTATTCTTATTATTTCAGATTTATTATATGGAATCTTATAATATGTGGGAGTCTGGAATAGAAATTGCTGTTTTATTCCCCTCAGGATTCATTTGGCTATCTGGGATTTTTCTGGTTCCAATAAATTTTAGGATGTTTTGTTCTTATTTTTGTGAAAGATAGTGTGGTTATTTTGATTAAGATTGGATATTAAGAAATCCAGGCCTAAATGGATTCAGTACAAAATCTCCCAGACATTCAAAAATGACCTACAACCAATCCTTAAAGTCTTCACAAAATGTAAATAGAATAATCACTCCCCAACTCACTGTATAAAGCCAATATTACTCTAGTTCTCAAACAAGGTAAAATACACATACATTCAAACAAAAGCACAGCCTTATATCCCTGATGAATACAGATGCAAAGGTTCTCAACAGCATAACTAGCAAACTCAATACAAGTACATATCAAGAACAGCATCTACCATAATCATGGTACACTTTATCCTGGAAATGTAGAGTTGGGTAAACATATATAAAAAAATTAATAAATTTGAAAATCATATACCTGAAATTAAAGACAGAAATCACATAACCATATCAATAGTGGCATTAAAGGATTTTGAAAAATTCTAATATCCCTTCATGGTGAAAGTAGTAGCACTGGAGTGAGCAAAGCTCATTATTTAAAAAAGTTATGTGACGAGATTGATCTAAGATGACGACTGTGGAACCGGAAACCATCCCTAACACTAATCCCCCACCTGCGGAAGAGGAGAAAACAGAATCTAATCAGGAGGTTGCTAACCCAGAGCTCTATATTAAACACCCTCTACAGAACAGGTGGGAACTCTGGTTTTTGAAATATGATAAAAGCAAAACTTAGCAAGCAAGCCTTTGATTGATCTCTAAGTCGATACTGTTGAAGACTTTTGGGTTCTATACCAACCATATCCAGTTGTCTAGTAATTTAATGCCTGGCTGTGACTACTCACTTTTTAAGGATGGTATTGAGCCTATGTGGGAAGATGAGAAAAACAAATGGGGAGGACAATGACTAATTACATTGAAAAAACAGCAGAGATGAAGTGGCCTCGATCGCTTTTGGCTAGAGACACTGCTGTTCCTTATTGGAGAATCTTTTGATGACTACAGTGATGATGTGTGTGGGGCTGTTGGCAATGTTAGAGCGAAAGGTGACAAAATAGCAATATGGACTACTGAGTGTGAGAACAGAGAAGCCGTCACACATAGGAAGGGTATACAAGGAAAGGTTAGGACTTCTTCCGAAGATAGTGATTGGTTATCAGTCCCATGCAGACACAGCTACAAAGAGCGGCTCCACCCCTAAAAATAGGTTTGTTGTTTAAGAAGACACCTTCTGAGTATTCTCACAGGAGACTGCGTCACACAGTCAAGATTGGGAGCTGAACCAAAGCCTCATCAGAGCAGAGTGGACTGCACTGAAGCTGATTCCATCTAAATGTTGCTAAGATATAAGAGAAGTCTCATTCAGCTTTGTCTTGTACTTCTGTGTTCATTCTTACCCTGACTACCACCCCAGTTTTTGCTAGTGTGTCCACTATCCCAATCAAAGAATTACAGTATACATCACCCCAGAACCTGTAGGTGTGTTCCTGGTTGGCTCTTTAACAGCCGGTTAGAATTACCATGACACACACATATGCCTTTCCACAGTACTCGAAAAAGAACTTGCATTTCTATTACTTTAGCAGGAAAAGATCTGTTTCTGTTCCACACCACGCAGGAGCGAATTCAGCTGCTCTGGTAGTCTGAATACAGCTTTCTAGCAACCTTCTGTTTGCTTTCACAACATTGTCCTTGCTGCCCTCTTGATGATGGCTGCTAGAATTTAATTTATTTGCTTACCTCCTTGATAACATTAGTGATTCTGATTACAGTTTTTCATTTGTTTTGCTTTTGGGTTTTCCTCATTTAATATTGGTGAAGGATCCAGGATTATGACAGAAAGGTGGAATAAACATTAAATTTGTGCATTCTTTGGTATTTTTTTGATTTTTTTTTGGAACTACAAAGCTTTGTTACAAATTTATGCATTTCATTCAAATCAGTGATCTACGTCTGTGTGATCCCTAAACATAATTGTGGACTATAATTACATTCCTAACTAGAATTAGTATGTCTGTGTTTGTATCTTTATGCTGTACTTTAACACTTTGTATTACTTAGGTTATTTTGCTTTGGTTACAATGGCTTAAGTAGAAAAGCGGTCCCATTCATATTAAGACAGTGTACAAAACTGTAAATAAAATGTGTACAGTGAAAACAGTTATATGACAAACTCAGACAGAATTGTGATAATGAGGAAATACTTGTAGTGATGTCATTAAAATCAGGAATGATATAGAAATGTTCACTGTCCTTACTTCTAAAAGCACCAGGTAGAAAAGTAAGGCAAGTAAAGAACACTATAAGATGCCAATAGGAAAAGAACACACTCAAATTATCCCTTTTTAAATGACATATTATAGATTCCCCAAAACGCCATCAGAAAACTACAGAATACAGGTGATATCAAGTGGGACATTAAAAATTATAGAGAATGTAACATCAAATGAGGAGGAAGAAACTCAATAAAGAAAGGGAAGTCAAAATAACACCATAATTGTTTGGTAGAGCCTCAAGAAATCATAGTTTCATATTTACCTAAAATAACTGTGTATACATATATAAACACACATAGATATATGTGTCTCTCTATTTTTGTCTGCTTGTGCATGCATATGTATGTATATATGTGTATTTCTTAGAGGCAGTTAAGTCATTAGGCAGACAATGTTCTCTACAAGAACCACAGATAAACAATGGCAGTAACAGACATGAAAAAAACCTCCTTTCAAGGGTTGGTTATTGTAGTCCAATTGACTCTAAACACAATATAGAATATTGATGCCGCTGTTGATTGCCTACCCCAAGTTGAGGATCTACCCTTATGGCTGATTCAGATGACATGAGATGGAGCTAAGATGAAAGCCTCTTTTTGTTGTCTAGCTTCCATGGTTCTAGAAAATACTATGTCAAGGGAGAAAAGAAATTAAAATATCTTACTAATGTAGCACAATCACCAGGATGACAACGTATTTATAAACATACAATATAGGACACTCATAATTCTGTGGTAACAAATGGGTGTCTAGTTTATCTTAAATCTCACTCATGAGTTGAGTAGTTGGTTTATCATAGGGACTGGAAACCTATCCATCTTTTATTCACACACAAACACACACACATATATATGATTAACCAACTCATCAGTATACATGTATAATATGTAAATATGTGTGACATATTAATAGGTTTCTGCCCAGGTAATAAGTTTCTCTAGCATAATAATCCAAATCTAGCCAAATAAAAAGTATAAAAGAAGGTTTGTTGGGTGCAAATCTCAGGTGGGTTCACCAGTGTCATAGAACTAGATCAGAAGTCATCATGCAGACAAAGAGACAGAGACAGAGCAAAGAGAGAGAGAGAGAAAGAGAGAAACATGAGAGCAGAGGAGAGACAATGCAGAGAGAGCTCTGAGTTGGTGAGGATGCTTTTATCTGCACCTGAATGAGGTAGGTG